TTTCTCCTACTCTGACCCTTGTTCCGCTGTCTGTGTAGGACCTCTGGAGTTTCCTCTTACTTGTGCTACAAGATCCCAGGAACTGGCACTTCCTTGGCTGGATCCCTGCCTGCTCTTTGATACATAATCTGTCCCCAATTCTTCCACAGGCATCCTAAAGAATAGGTTGCAGTACCCATTGGTGCCCAAGACTCGAGGTACTCCTGAGCTGTCCTGGTGCCGTGCAGCTACCTTGGGCCACCGTGCTGTGCCAGCTGCCTCCTATGGTCGCATCTATGCAGGCGGGGGCACAGGTAGCCTTTCACAGCCAGCCAGCCGCTACTCTTCCCGAGAGCAGCTGGACTTGCTGCTAAGGCGACAGCTGAGCCGGGAGAGACTAGAGGAAGTTCCAGTTACTGCCCCTGTTTTGCATCCCCTGAGCCGGCCAGGCTCCCAGGAACACCTGGATGCTGCACCAAGCCGCCTAGAGCCCAGAGATCGGGTCAGCACCCTACCACGGAGGCAGCCACCCCGGGACTACCCTGGAACTATGGCTGGACGCTTTGGGTCACGGGATCCACTGGACTTAGGGGCACCCCGAGAATGGTTGAACACACTGCCCCCACCCCGCCGCAACCGGGACCTTGACCCACAGCACCCACCTCTGCCCCTGACTCCACAGCGGCAACTCTCAAGGGACCCCCTCTTGCCATCTCGGCCCCTGGACTCTCTGTCTAGGATCTCGAACTCTCGGGAGCAGCTGGACCAGGTGCCTAGTCGGCATCCCTCACGAGAGGCCCTTGGACCAGCCCCACAGCTTCTCAGAGCCAGGGAGGACCCCGCCAGTGGCCCTAGCCATGGCCCCTCCACGGAGCAACTCGACATCCTCTCCTCTATCCTTGCTTCCTTCAACTCCTCAGCCCTGTCTTCAGTGCAGTCCTCAAGCACGCCCTCGGGCCCACACACCACTGCCACGCCTTCTGCCACAGCCTCTGCACTTGGGCCTTCCACACCTCGCTCAGCCACATCCCACAGCATCTCGGAGTTGTCACCAGATTCAGAGTAAGCAGGGCCCAGACACCTGTTCACACTCTTGTCAGCTTAGAGCAGCTGCCCCACGTACCCACCCCCGAGTTCCACCGTAGAATGAATTGGGAGTTAGCCCATAGATACGGGCCACTCCAGGCTCAGCACAGCCAGGAGGCCACATTAGGAACAATTCTAGCAGAAGATGGGAAAAGGGCTAGCTGGAACTTGCTTACACATTCCAGAAAAGTGCCGCCAAAGACTGAAACTAGTGGAGGGGGCAGGCAGGAGTCAGGGCATCAAAGTATGAAATAACCTGGCATTTGCATGAGGCAATGAGGGGACTCTTTGTTCAGATGGCTGTGCCTAAGAGGACATATGGAATGTGGCATATTGTGCCAGATTGAGAATAAGTCATTTGTTCATTATTGTATTCCATTGGCATGAGACTGCTCCCACCTGTGGGTGCTGTGGGATTAGGCACAGTACAACTGAAGTGCCCACAAGGCATCTGTGGGGTTGAGGATGCCAGAGACACCCAGAAGTGGCTGGACACACAGGAATCCATGAAGGAATGGGGGAGGAGGAAAGAGCATTGCCAGACCCAGCGCCCCACAGGGGAGTTACCAGGTCTAAGAAGACAATGGGGAGTTGTCAGTCAAGGAGAAACTGCCAGGTCAAGCTCTGGATGATTGGGAGGGAAGTAGGCCTCTGCATAGGGCAGGGGACCAAGAGAACTGAGCAGGGCCCAACGCTGAGAGGACAGAGGAGGTAGGAAGCAGGGGCTTAGGGGACCGGAGCTCTAGAGGGACGCTGAAAGGGAAGGGTGAGGAAAAGACAACCCACCCGGGTCCCTGCAGTCTGGCCTTGGCGGCTGCACAAGTACCAAAGGACTGAGCAGGGACTCAGGCTTCAGAGACACTTGAGCTTCGGTTCCATCTCTCATCTCCTTAATGAGATGAGGCACAGTTCAAGCTACACAGTAGCTCTTCATCTGTAGACTCAGTTTAGAGAAACAAACTCCTTGGGATGCGGAGATTTGTGGTATTGTCTGAATTATGGATGCTTCATGTAGTCTCTGCGTAGGTGGTTTCCTAAGCACCGAGACCTAGGCAGCCACTTGCTAATGGGTCTAGGCTGTGGAGGTCCAGATGGGTATTTGGAGGGTGCAGAACCATGCATGGAGTGGGCATGAGAGGGCTGAGGGCTGAGAGGGAAGTCGTCTTAGCCATGGCTTTCCATTTCCACATTCAACAGAATTCCCAGAAGCGAAGGTCACTCCTGAGGGGCTGGCAGCAGATGAGGAGCCACCACGGGCAGCAGAGGATTTGGGCCGATGGAAGAGACTTCGTGACTGATCCCAAGGCAGCCCTCTTCAGGCCCTCCTCAGTTCAGGGCAGTGTGACAGTCCCATGCATCTGTGAGCATGAGTGTGACAGGTGCGGGTGGGGGCTGGAGGGAGGACTTTTATACATTTTGTACCTTTGTAACCAGAGAGATATGCTTATGTTATTTTTCAGCTCTTCTGTGTCCCAGGGGTCCGAGACTGGGCTGGAAGGGGATGGGGGAGAGATGCAGTTGGCCTCATCTGGGTCCTTTTCTTTCATCTTACGGGTGGGGTGGACAAGTGGGACACTTCCCCTGCCTCTTCCCCACGTTGATCTGAACAGTGTTGGGGCCCAGAGTGCAAATTTGATCTTAGCATTTTCTCCAGTGCCCCACAGGCCAAACTCCAGTGTGTGGGGGTTGGTCTTGCAGACAGGGGTCCTCCCACTCCCTCCCGAGGGCTTACTCGTGCCCTTACTCCGCTATGTGGATGTGTATTTCTTGGAGTCCCTGCCATTTACTGCCTTAAGACCCAGGACTGATGCTGTGGGCGCTGGGAGAGCAGCAGACGTCATGTTTACAGATCAAGGCTTCCCTTCCTCCCTTGGGGAGGGACTCGGGCCTCTAATCAGACATTCCTACCAGGGTGTGAGTAGAGGGGACTCTCCTTTGTCTCTGCCTCTTCCCCGCTTAAGTAACTCCAGTCTGTGGTGCCATTGTTCACTACACTGCCCCCTGGAGGGATGAGTGGGAGGGTGAACAAAGGAGCAGAAACAAGGGAATCCAAGACCCAGAATGTAGGTGCCACCGCCTCCCACTGTTTGCAGGATCCTCCCTGGCACCAGGCTGTAGCAGTGACTGCCCCACCTTCTGTTATTCCCTCATGGAGGGAAAAATGACTGTTAGGATCCTGTTCACAAAACTCTTCTGTTATTCGTCTGATGTCCACAACTGGGGACTTTAAATTTTTGTTACTTTGTTTACAGGTCAAGATTATTTTTTTAAAGTTTTGGTTTTTATTTACTGTCTACAATGTAAAACAGTGAAGTTTCACACTTTGTTTACAGTTGAGAATGTTTTCCCGTTTGTTTACAAGTGAAAGGTAGGAGAAGTGGGAGAAGGGCTTAGAAGACCCACCTGTGATATCTCTGGACCTGGTCATCTCGAGGGGGGCTTCTAACCCTGACCTTTTCCAGGTCAAACGTCAGTTGAGTCTTCTGTTTAGCACACCCTGAAGGAGGCTCAGGGCTGGGGATCTGTGCAAAGGCCACTCACCTCTACCCAGTGTATACACTTGGGGCACAGTTTCTGAGATTCAAAACCCCACTTCGCTGTCTGTGCCAAATCCCACCAGCGGTTGCTAACTCTCCTTACCCAGACTGACCTGACCTCTGCCCTGAAGGGCTAAGTGGCCTGTCAGTGGGAGAGTGTCCTTGCTACGTCCTAGGTTCTGTAGATGCCCGTCTCTGGGGTTCCCCTCCAGCACAGTGGCCCTCTTTCCTGTCTGTGTAAATTGTTCCGTGAAGCCGCGCTCTGTTTTGGGAATAAACTTCTATAGAAAACACTGGTTCCTCTTTCTGTTGCAGACGTAGGGATGGTTGCTAGAGTGATTCACCCAGAGTGACCTTGGAAGGAATTTGAGCCCTCCTCCCTCCAAAATATCCAGTTATTTTTAGTTCATTTCATGGCAGGTTTGGACCAGATTCCTATTGCTTTCTGAAGTATGGCCTTTCACCTTGAGTTTGGACCTGAAGTTAGAGCATAGGAGCTGGGCAAGAGAAGCCTCTTCTGGGGCTAGGCAGCAATGGGAGGGCTTCCTGATTCCCAGAGCCTGATCTGTGGCCCTGCCCATTTGTCTAACCAAACCTAGGAGTTGCCTTCCCAGTGTGTACCTTACTCACCCACACTCTGACCCTTCCTGGTCTCTCTGACTTAGATCTGGCCAGAAGCTTGGAAACTCAAAGGAGCTTCCTTTCCCTTCAAAGATCAGTCTGGGGGTGGGTTTCCCTCCCAGACCCAATTCCAGTCTAGGCAGCCAGAATCCAAAGGGAAGCCTTGAGAAGCCAGAAGTGGTGGCAAATGCTTTTGACCACACCTTTAATTCCAGCCCTCGGGAGGCTGAAGCAGGTGGATCTCTGATAAGGAGGCCAGCCTGGTCTAGAGAGAGTTCCAGGACAGCTGAGGCTACACGGAGAACTTGTCTGGTGGGTGGGGCGGGCCTTGAGGACCACTGTGCCAGGTCTCAGAGGGAAAGTCTGGGGGTGGTGCGCACAGCTTGATGGTCCCCGAGAGACCCTATAGACCCAGATCTCCCACAGTTGAGGTTAGGGCCCCAGATTACACATCTAAGCATCCAGATCATTCAAGGATTTCTCCCCTGCACTACCGGGGCCCTTCACAAAGCCAGAAGGTAAGATCAGATCCATCCATTCAGGGACCCAGAGCCACGGGTCTTTGTTCCAGTCCTCCAGCTCCGGGCAGCTGGTTAGCTAGCTGAAACCGACTGGAGTTACGGGGGGGGAGGGGGGGGAGAACTTAAATTTGGCCTCTGGGAAGGAAAGGGTTAAACCTTCTTTCTCCGGGCTCACCCACCCGCCCCGGGAGTATGACTTAGGTTCCGCCCTCGAATTCTCATTGGTCTGAGCATGTACATCCTGGCTGTGGAGCGTGATGCCGGCCTCGTTCCCGGCCTGGCGCCACCTTCGCGCCGGCAGTGGCCTCCCGCGGGAGCTGTCAGATCCGCGGCACTCGAGCTATCTGGGGGCCATGGGGCTGTCCGATGGGTCCGGTGAGTTTCAGGGCGCCGCCCGAATTCAGCGTGTCCACGATGTGTTAGTACTCTGACTCCCGGCCTAGATCAGTTCTGAAAGGGAACCGCCAAATTCCCAGAAGGCATCTCCCGCCTGCACAGCCTCGGTTTACCGCCTTGCCAATTTTCCGCAGGTGGTTGTCCATCAGCCGCGAGGGATGGGTGCGGGATCCGGCGCGACCCTAGCTCTTGAGGGTTGCACCGAAAGTCCCTGGAGTCCTAATGAGGGGGCCGCAGGGAGGTTGCTGCCTGCCAAGGAGCCCAGGTCTTGGAGGTGCGCCGGCTGGGTGCCTGGGCCCGGGAGGCAGACCGCTGCAAGACAGGTTCCAGACAGTCCCTGGACCTGCCGCGGCCTGAGTCCGCGTGGTTCTGAGCCCTCTGGTGCTGAGGCCTTTGTACCCTCCCAAAGGGCGGTGCCAAGTATCAAGGATCCGCCCCCGGGCGCGTGCTGCCTGGTAAGGGGCGGGCCCTTTAAGAAGACTTAGTGCTCTCGAAGGAGAGGAGAAGGGGCCCTGCGGTCTCTGCGAGCCAGAGGTGTACAGAACCTCTGAGGATCTTCTTTGCACCTTCTCTGCTCCCTCCAACGTGGATACTCAGATTAGAGGCTCTTCCCAGGTGAGTTCCTACCCCTCTGGTGGGATCCTCTCCCCTGGTTATAGCTGCTTCCAGATCACAGCTGACCAGTGAAAACTTTCCCCAAATGTTAGTTCTCCCGCCAGATTTACCCCCACCCCCGAAATTCGCAGAGGAGAGCTACATTCCTTATGGAGTCTCCCCAGCTCAATTTCTTCTGAGAGAACTCCCCAGATGAGAGAGAACCTTTCCCTTTCCCCCAGCCCCTATTCTTTGGTAAAGTTTCTCCCAGAGGTGCCTCCCGGTAGGTAAGGGATTCACCCCCAGGTCAGAAATTGCCTGGCTGGTGATGGCTGTCTGGGCAGGGTTCCCTCTAGGTTGGACTGGCTTCTGAAAACTCCTGTTTCCAGGCGAATCTTTCCTATTTCAAGGGGGTGTCGCTGGAGGTGAGAGCTTGGACCCTGAAGCTTGAGGTGCCTAGGTGGGTTCTGTCCTGAACCCTGGGGGCAGTATTGCTTACAGATCTTACATGCTCCCTGCCATTCAGGGTCTGTGGTACAGCTGGAAGCGGAACTGGACAGGAATTGGTTCAGGGAAGGCAAGGGGCTGAGAAGTAGGGGCTAGGAGAAATTGCCAGTCTAAACCTGGACCCGGACCTGGACGTGGACTTGAAGTGGTACTCAGTGCTGGGCAGCCACACCTGAGCTGGATGTGTAGGTCATTCTCATCCCACTTTCCCTCCCGGAGAGACTTTGGCCCAGAAAGCGGCTTCCAGCAGCCAAAGTTCAGGTACTGCCCCTGTCTGGGTGTGAACACGGGGCCCTCAGAGACCAGCAGGGTTGGCTCTATCCTTGATCTTTGAGCCTGGAAAACTCAGGTATGTGACTCTGTGGACCTAGGTAGAGTGAAGGAAAGGTTGGGACAGGGGCAATCCTCAGTGTATGTCTATGTCTGTGGTCTCACCCCTCCAGACCACGGGACACAGCAGACACAGGCACTGCTGTCTGCCACACAAGAAATGGAGCCGCAGAGGCGAGACTACCATGTGGAGAGGCCTCTGCTGGACCAGAAGCAGCTAGAGGATCTGGGACATTGGGGCCCGGTGCCCAAGACCTACCAGTGGCAAACTTGGTTTCGGTAACGATGAGGGGTTGAGGTATGGGGTGTTCTGGCAGGCCCCGAGTTCTGGCTCTAATGAACTCTTCGTGTCCCCAGGTGCTCCCGTGCTCGGGCCCATGCACTTCTGCTCCGTTACTTTCCAGTCTTGGGCTGGTTACCCCGCTATCCTGTGCGAGACTGGCTCCTGGGTGACCTATTGTCTGGCCTGAGCGTGGCCATCATGCAGCTTCCGCAGGGTGAGCTCCCTTCAGCAGCCTGGACTGCAAGCCTTGTGGTCTGTGAAACGTCAAACCAGGAGCCACGGCCTCTGCTCTTGGAACGATGGCCCCTGAACCCAGGGTTTGGATCCCCCTACCTTTTTGAGACCCTACTCTCCAAGTCTGCATTGCACCCTTCTACCTGCAGGCTTAGCCTACGCCCTCCTGGCGGGATTGCCTCCTGTGTTTGGCCTGTACAGTTCTTTTTACCCCGTCTTCGTCTATTTCCTATTTGGTACCTCTCGACACATCTCTGTGGGTAAGTGGAGTCAGGCCTAGCTTTTCATAGAGGCCATCTTCTTTGGAGGGGAGGGGCAGGCTGGGCAGGGCAGCTTGGGGACTAGGGCAGTGTGGGTGCTAGACCACTAAGAGAATGGCATATGGGTCACCCCAAGAAGTACTAGGGAACCGACTGTAGGGATTCCAGGTTCAGGATATCTCAAAGCCCTGGCTTCCGGGTGGATGAGGCAGTCCATGGGGCCAGAAAGTTCCTAGAGGCCTGTCCAGCCTGTCCATGATCCTTCTCTTGCTCCCTGAGAGTCTGGGTCGCAGAACACTGGACACTGGTGAGACAAGGTGGTGAGATGGGGGCCAGCATTAGCCCAGTTAGCTTTAGAAGCCTGTGAGCTCAAGGTTTGCTTCTGACCTTGGCTATATCTAACCAGTACCGCCTCCGTTTGCACAATCGTAATCCAAGGATATCTATCTGCTGGCCTCTTTAATTAAGACTGGGGCTCCAGAGCAGGACAACATCCTCTTCCCTTCTGACTTGCTCTGTCCTGCCCCTTCAGGGACCTTTGCTGTCATGTCTGTGATGGTGGGTGGTGTGACAGAATCCTTGACTGCGGATGAGTCCTTCGTGCAAGGCTTGAATGCCACAGTTGATGAAGCCCGAGTGCAGGTGGCCTACACGCTCAGCTTCCTGGTTGGCCTCTTCCAGGTACGGCGCCGTCCCCCTAGCTGCCTGGACTTACACTGTGTCCTCCTGCTGTTCCTTTATTCCCTCTGATTCCGCTTGCCTTTTGATTTCTGCCTCCCTGACGTTCCCTAACTGGCCAACAGGTGGGGCTGGGCCTGGTGCACTTCGGCTTTGTGGTCACCTACCTGTCGGAACCTCTGGTCCGCAGCTACACCACAGCCGCCTCTGTGCAAGTCCTCGTCTCACAACTCAAGTATGTGTTTGGCATCACAGTCAGCAATCACTCTGGGCCACTGTCCGTTATCTATGTGAGTGAGGGTGAGGGCAAGGGTGGGTAGGCATGCTGTGCCCATGATCTCGAACGCCGGCTGTGACACCTCTTCTCCTCAGACGGTGCTGGAGGTCTGCGCGAAGCTGCCCAAGACTGTGCCCGGCACCTTGGTCACGGCACTTGTAGCAGGAGTGGTGCTTGTGTTGGTGAAGCTGTTGAATGAAAAGTTGAAGCGCTATCTGCCCCTGCCCATACCCGGGGAACTACTCACGGTTGGTTCGTGTACCAGGGAATGGTGGTCAGAGGAGAAGGTGGGATATTAGGGTAGATCCGGTCGGGATACAACCTCAAGGTATTTCAGGGCCAGATGGAGTGACCACTGTCAGGGTTTCTGCAGCAGAAAGCCCTAGATTGGCTTCTTACCACCCTTGACAGCTTATCTCCTTCCTCAGATGGTAATGTTTACCTCTCAGCCTATCCACAACTTCTCATTCCTCAAAGATTTTGTTGCCCATAATGGTTTACGCTTCTCCCTTAGGATACTGCCAGGACCTCCCTCCCCTAATTCTACCCTTTCTCCACAGCTCATTGGGGCCACCGGTATTTCCTATGGTGCAGAACTCCGTGAAAGATTCCAGGTAGACGTGGTGGGCAACATCACCACAGGGTAAGCTCTGGTTCTGTCAAGGACGGGTGGGGCGGAGGGGCAGCTAGAGCCGGGACCATCCTCTGACCTCACAGGTGTTTCTCCCAGGCTGATACCCCCGGTGCCACCCAAGACAGAGTTGTTTGCCACCCTCGTGGGAAATGCCTTTGCCATTGCTGTGGTGGGCTTCGCCATCGCTATCTCACTTGGGAATATTTTTGCCCTGAGGCATGGCTACCGCGTGGACAGTAACCAGGTCCGTGATGTGGGTCATGCAGGTGAACACTGGGCCACATGACAGAAGAGAAACAGAGAAGGGTTGGGCTGTACTTAGAAATGACAGGGGGCAGGAGAATAGGATGTTTGAGACAACAGTCAAACATTGGAGGCCATTGAGTGGGGATGGGAATTGGGAGTATGTCAGCCTAGATATGCCAGGAGAGTGATCCGGCATCCCTGGTAAGACTTTTCACACCGCACTTCCCCCACAGGAGCTGGTGGCCCTTGGCCTCAGCAACCTCATTGGCAGCTTCTTCCAGTGTTTCCCCGTGAGCTGCTCCATGTCTCGGAGCCTGGTACAGGAGGGTACCGGGGGCAACACACAGGTGGGCCTTGTGTGATCATGTGTGTGCATGTGCGCATGTATCCATCTGGGTATGCATGCTGTTCTGCCAGGGTGGTCCTGCTCCTCCTCACCCTCACTCCCTGCTAACTCCCACCCTGTAGGTTGCCGGAGCCGTATCCTCCCTTTTCATCCTCCTCATTATCCTCAAACTCGGGGAACTCTTCCGAGACCTGCCCAAGGTGAGCCTCTGCCCCTCCCAGCCAGCCTTCAGAGCCTCGGCTTGGCCAGACCCAAATCAGTCACTCTAACTCCATCTAAGGGACTCAGAGATACAATTGAATCTGGAATTAGGGGTCAAGGGTTGGAACTTTCTTATCAGCTCCAAGGGGTTAAGGTTGGTGTGGGGTGGTAGCTGGCTGTGCGCTTGGCCAGCATGGGTAATCATGCCTGGGTGGTGGAGGCTGTCAGCTTTTAGGAATCTCTTAGCAACCCTGGTGACATTGTCCCGCTGCAGGCCGTCCTGGCAGCTGTTATTATTGTGAATCTAAAGGGCATGATGAAGCAGTTCTCTGACATCTGCTCTCTTTGGAAGGCAAATCGAGTGGACCTGGTGAGAAGCTTGGGAGCCCAGCCCTGGGCTTTGGGGCCTTTAGTGCCAATGGACCCTTTGACCTTTGACATTTTGTTATCAGCTAATCTGGCTGGTGACCTTTGTGGCTACCATCCTGCTGGACCTGGATATTGGCCTGGCGGTTTCCATAGTGTTCTCCCTGCTGCTCGTGGTGATCCGAATGCAGCTGTGAGTCAACCATTTTTGGTACTCCCAATTCCAGCCTGGTGAGGGAGTAAGTTTCACACCGGCTCTCCACAATCTTTACATCTCTGGGGACACCCCAGGTTCCTCATTCCCCTCTCATGGCCTTTTCTTTGCCTCCTTCTCTCCATCCCCACCCCCCAACTCTCTCCTCAGGCCCCATTACTCTATCCTGGGGCAGGTGCCAGATACGGATATTTATAGAGACGTGGCAGAATACTCAGGGGTGAGTGGCACGGCTAAATGGGAGGTGGAGCAGACAAGATAAATGGGCCCTTTTTATTCCCTCCACATGGACAAGAACACTGGGGGATGGGCTGGGAAAATGGCTCGCTGGATAAACTGTTTGCTATACCCAACTATGAATCCCCTGCACCCATATTAAATACCAGGCATGGCAGCATGCATGTCTGTGACCCCAGTGCACAGAAGGCAGTGACAGGAGGATCTCTGGGGCCCTCTGGCCAGCTAGTCTAGCCAATTGGTAAGCCCCAGGTTCAGTAAGAGACCCTGTCTCAAAGGGGAAGAGCCATAGAGGAAGGTAGCCAATGTCTTCCCATGCAAGGTGCACACCCAGACACACACACACACACAGAGGAAGCATTTTGACTTTTGTTCTTCGAATTTGAAGAGAGGAGTTTGAGTGTGTGACCCTATTCATTGTATGAGTGACTGGCTCAGTCTTGGAGCCAGACTCATAAGCCCTATGCTGTAGAATACCCCTGGGTCAAAAGAATGGAATAGTGGTGGTGGGGGGCACAGAATGTAGGGAAGGTTATTTCCTGGTCTGCTCAGTGGGAATAGAAAGTCCCCGATTGCTAGTTTGTAAGAAACCCTCATGTTGTGTCATGCGAACAAAGGCTTTGTGAGAATCTGGAATAAATTAAGCCCTATCACTTCGGCCTGGAGCCCTGAAGGCCGAGTGCAGTATGATTAGGCAGGCTAAAGAGTAGAGTGAGGGGTCTAGGTGTGGGAGACATGAGGGGAGCAGGCAGCTGCGTGGGGCTGGGAGGCGGCCCACATGGTCCAGGCCCAAATGCCCAGGGAAGACCTGAGCTGTGGACGGAATGGATTGAGAACTGGGGAAGGTGGGAGTGGAATGCCAGGTTGGGGTGGCCCTTCTGTCTGTCTGCATGCAGAAAGCAGCAGAGGGCAGGGACGGGAGACTCGGGAACAGGGGAGCTGAGAGCTGAACCCCAAAACCTGGTGACAGACAGGGGAGTTGGGAGGGACCGAACCTGCGCAACACAGGGAGCTAGGGTGGTGTAGCCAGACATATGCCTGGACTCCTGAAAGGGTATCGGCCACAGCCTGGGGCAGAGGGTAGCAGGCTGTCTAAGAGAGGCAAGCCGAGTGAAGAGGATGTGGGAGAAGGCAAGGAAGGCTCAGCCACTCCAACTCCACCTCATCTCCAGGCCAAGGAGGTCCCTGGTGTGAAGGTCTTTCGCTCCTCAGCCACCATTTACTTTGCCAATGCTGAGCTCTACTGTGACTCACTGAAACAGAAGGTGAGGCTGGGGTCCCCCTGTTTGTTGTGGGGGGGGGGTCTGAGTGCCGCTCATCTCACCAAAGGACCCGAAGCCTACCTCTGACTGTGTCTCTAGTGTGGTGTGGACGTGGACCATCTCATCTCCCAGAAAAAGAAACGAATCAAAAAACAGGAGATGAAGATAAAGCGAATGAAGAAAGCCAAGAAGTCCCAGAAGCAGGTGGAGCCCCCCTCATCCCCTCAGCAGCTCCTCCTGGCCCAGCCCTACTGGGGACCCAACCCTGAACCCCAGCCATTTCATGATCCTCTTTGGCCTTTCTCCCAGTCTGGTCCTTGTCCCGTTTCCTCACCCGTCATTTCTCTTCACTACTCTTTGTCCCTCCCCCTTCTCCCTCAGCACCTTGGAGACCCAGTTTCAGCCCTGGGCAGGACAGGGAAAGCTCCGGAAATGTTATACCCCTCGCCTGTATTAGTCACAGTGTGAACCACAGTGGGTCCCTTTCCGTCGTTACAACGCGGGCCTGCAGCCTAGGTCCTACTGCGGCTCCTTGCCCAACGCCAGGGGCAGTACCAAGTCTACCTGGCATGGTTGTCGTGGCACTTGGGATGACTTTCCTATCACCCCTCTTCCCTCCTAGGATGCCCCTTCCAAGATCACCACAGTTTCAGTCAACGTCAACACTGGCTTCGAAGACATCAAAAGCAACGATGTGGAGGGTTCCGAGGCCAAGGTGAGGCTACCAATGGGAGAAGGGAACGGCCCAGAACAGCAAAGATGCAGGTGTCGACACACATTGCATGAGAAAAGCCACTAGTGTGGGCTTGAAAATGTTGGGCTAACGATGGGAGGAAGAGGATGATGGCTCAGACACTGTAGGAAGACCCTTGTGATACCAGATTCTCTCCTGGCTCGTGTCTATAATCTCAGACTGACCTAGATTTTATAGACTGACCTTGAATTTATAGATATAACAAAACCCCACAGTCTCTGCTTATGGATAGAAAGGGCTTGGGAATATTGAGGGGGAAATACCAAGTTCAACCAAAGACTCAGACATGGGATAAGGGGTGTGAATGAGTGTGGGCACAACAATGCCTGTAGCCATCTTGTCTGTTCCTAAGCTCCTAGCCACTCCACTCTGTTTAGCTAAGGATGGGACATGATCTCCCAGCACCCTCCCTTCTTGTGTCTCTATTAAGCTTTGGTCCAGAAAGTAACAAAGCGGTTTGTGCATGTTGGAGTATGCGTTCCTATGTCCCTACATGTCCTTCCTATGTTTATAGACTCACCTGTCTCCTTTCAACCCATGTCTGTGTCCTTATGTGTCCCATGCATGCCTTCATAGATCTGCATTTTTACATGCATTTATAGCTTCTATCTGACTCTGTGTGTCCCTGTATACCAGTGCATACCCTGCCTTTGCTCTATCAGGGATGGCCCTTTAGCACATCTGTATCCCCTGCAGGTGCACCAAAGGGAGGAGCTGGAGGATGCAGTCACCAGCAGTCAAGAAGATGTCAAAGCCCCAACCGTGAACACACTGAAGTCCCTGGGCCTACCCCAGCCAAACTTCCATAGTCTCATCCTAGACCTGAGCACGCTATCCTTCGTGGACACCGTGTGCATTAAGACTCTGAAGAATGTAAGGAACTGTGGGCGGGCTCGGACCCCTTAAGCCTTCACGCTGACCTCATCGCTTGCCTTGAGCCTTCTGAAGCCCCCCAAACGAAGCCCTCTGAGCTCCCGCACTAAATCTTGCCCAACTGCTGCCTTCTGAAGCTAGTCCTCTTTGTTGCTGCAGATTTTTCATGACTTCCGGGAGATCGAGGTGGAAGTGTACATCGCTGCCTGTTACAGTGCGTTGGCTGGGGATAGTGATAACAATCCAGACAGAGGGTGGGACTCTTCTGGTCAAGGGTTTGTCAGACGGCACAGGGAAAATCTTCTTCTGAAACTGCAGGCCTTGGGAGTCAGGAGCCAAGAGTCAGGAGTAAGGCTAGGGAGATGACTCAGTGGGTAAGTGCTGAGCTCAGAGGGCTCAGTGCTGCCCACATATGAGGACCTGAGTTCAAGTCCCACAGCACCATGTAAAATAAGCCAGACATATCTATGCATGTCTATAATGCTAGCCTTTGGTGGGTGGAGACAGATGGTTCCCAAGAGCTAGCTGGTCAGCCAGTCTCAACATTCACAGCCCTACACACACATACACAGACATATACACAAACACACAGACAGACACACAGACTTACATA